CAAACCCTAGGACCCATTTCAATTAAAACATTCTATGATTCTAATTGGTTATTGTTCAGCATATAAAAATACCTGAAAAAATTAAAATCAAGATATAATTCAGAAACCTGTACTATACTAAAACCCTGAAAAGTGAGTGACAAATTTACAGCTACCTTTAATGAATACATTTGATTCCACCGCTTGTCTGGTTCCACTCATCATCTACTCGATCATCACTGCCCTTCTGTTCATCATTACTGCTGGATTACGGAGAAGCCATCAACACACAGGCACTTTCAATCACGCAAGCTGACCCGAATGTCCCCACCACCACTCTCTGTGCTGGTCATGGTAGATAACTGCCCGATTTCATAACTAATCAAAGACAGCATGGTAACTGCATTCTCCTGCTAGCCTGGTCTGGGTTTGGGTAATTTCTGGAAAGGTATCCCAGCTCCTAAAAGAGAGCAAAAAACAAAGACAGACCTCCTCTTCCTCAAGATTTGGGTCCATTCCTGCAGACGTCTTGCATCCAGGAGGAGAATCTGCTTCATGATAAAATTTTTACTGAGGATGTGTAAAAACGGCATAGAGGGGGTATCTGACCTCCTCCAACCCCACAAGGGGGAAGGAGAACCAAGATCAACAGCTCAAGGCTGACTCCCATGAGACAGAAGCCAGGCAAGCCTCCTCTCTCTGCCGTCTTTACCAAACCCTTCTCCAGGGACTGGTCTCTCCTGATAACCTGTCCAAAGTACATGAGACGAAGTCTCGCCATCCTTGCTCCTAAGAGTGATTTTCTTCATAGCATCCATCAATATCACAAATTATCTTTTCTTTACGTGCTCACTGTCTCTCTGATCTTTCCTCGTCTACCCTTGCGGACAGGGATTGTCTGTCTTGTTCACCTCTATGTTGCCCAAAGCCTAGGACAATGCCTAACACGTAGAAGACACTCAATAAATATTTCTTCATGAATGAAAGCATAAATCTTAGACAAAGATAATCATGCATACAACTTAAAACTAACTTCTTAATCATTCAAATAATCATCTATCTTTTCCTATTCTGATCTACCTTACTGAATCATGTGTAATACAACAAAACGATCATCAAAAAGCACAAAAGAGGACAGTAAAAATAAAAATGTAATATTTCTCACCAGATTTAGGAAAATTTAGTCTGTGGCACTAAATAAACCTCAAACGTATTTGTTAAACAAATTTTAACAAAATTTTAAGGCCACATTTTTAATGCCTTTTTAAATACCACATTTGTAACAAACAAGTAATCTAAAAACGCATGAATCCAATTTGACAAGTTGTTCTCAAGTAAAACAACTTGGCCTTACACTAAACAGATGCATCCTTCATAAAGTAAAAACGTGTAACTGTATCAAAAAATTACTTTTCACCTCCCCTTCTCTACCCGAATACTTGCAACTATGATGTGTAACAGAATTCTTCTTTAGTGATATAATCTGAATGAGAAATTTACCTACAGTTTAAGAGAGATTAAAAACAAGAGCCAAGAAGGAATATCTGAATATTCTCCACTTCCTAACAGGTGAGTCAGGGGGAAACAAAAGAAGGGCAGGGTAACACCTCGCCACTGCCAACACTCTTCCAGTGAGCAAGAAACTATAAATACACGTGGTGTTTGATGGGATGGAAGTATCCAAAGGTCTACTCGCTGGCCTCACTGTATTTTTTACAATAAAGTTTAATTGGACTTCAGACCAAGACAAACAGATAAAAGAAATAATTTACTCCTATCTGGCAAATCCTTAAATGAAGACTTACACTAAACCACCTAGACTGTATCTCCGTATCTTCTTTACCTAATCCCTGCCAAACTGCTGACTATGCAGTGGATTCAAAAGCACAGAGCAGTACAAAGATTGCCAGAAAGGCAAACAGTATCTACCGCTGAAGAACCACAGATGTTTCGCCTAACTAATAAGTACAGAAAAGATACTCAAGGTCATTAGTCATTAGGAGAATGCAAATTAAAATCACAATTAGATGCCATTTCACACTCACAGGATTAGCCATAAGAAAAAACACAGACAGTAACATGGGTTGGCAAAGACGTGGAAAAATGAAAACCTTCCTACATTGCTGGTGGGAATGTAAAATGGTGCTGCCATTTTGGAAAACAGTCTAGCAGTTCTTTAAAAAGTTAAATATAAATTTACCATATGCCCCAGAAATCTCAGTCTTAGCTATCTACCCAAGAGAAAATAAAAGTGTATGTCCACATAAAGACTTGCATGCAAAGTTCATAACAGCATTATTCATAATGGTCAAACACTGGAAACAATCCAAATGTCCAACAATTGGTGAATGAACAACCAAAATGTGGTATATCCATGCAATGGAATACTATCCAGTAATGAAAAAGAGCAAAGTAATGATCCATACCACAACACAGATGAACCTCAAAAGTATTATGTGAGGATAAAAATATTCTAAAACTAATTTATGGTGATGATTGTACCCTTGGTAAATTCACTAAAAATCTTTGAATTGTATACTTGAAATGGGCAGATTTTATTATACGTAAAACATGCCTCAATAAAGTTGTAAAAAATGCAATTTAGGTATTCTAAGGAATTCACATTTTATATGCACTATAAATTAACATAACATCTCTAGTTTCCATCTATCTCAACAAACAGCAATCTAAAATCCAACCAAGTATAGAAAGTGTACTCCCAGGGAGAACGAGGTGAACTGCACTTAACTGAGACACACGAGAAATACTTATAAAACGAGAATGTCTACAGGGCCTCATTCCCTTCACTATGCAACACTCAGCATATTTATAAATTGCATGGCAGCTAAAACGTGAAGAGCAGAGAACCACTAAAAAAAAGAAGAAAACTGAAATGTAGTTTAGACCATAAAGTAAACAGAAAAGCAAGCGAAAGACATGACGAGCTCCCCCATCTCTCTCTAGCATCTATTTCTCCGGATGCCTAAGGCTTGGGGGTTTGGAGAACCTACGTGCTGCCTTTTGAGGGGAAAGGAAACTATCCTGGATCTTGCAGTTCAAAGTTAATCACTGTATTTTTGTTATCTGTTGAAAATATTTACTCTAATGGAAAAAAAGAAAAAAAGCCTAAGCTTTCTCAATCTCCTATTCTTGTAGAACACAGAGTAAAGCAGTTTAAGAATTTAGAGTTAAAAAAAAAATGATGATGACGATCATGAAAATTACTGTCAACATAAGTAGAACATTTTCTATGTGTCAAGTACTAGGAAATTCCTACCTGTGAGCTCATTTAATCTTCACAAAATCCTTCGAAGTGGGTAATATTATCATTCCCATTTTCCAAACGGGAAACTCAAGCACAGATTGATCAAGTGTGTTTCCCAAAGGTCTACTGATTCTGATAAGGAAACAGCACCAGCAGTGTCATCTGAGGAAGACCCATCTAGAGGGGACAGCGCTTCACCATGAAACTCCTAATACATTCCAGATCAAGGCCTAGAGCCTCTCTCTAGGAGCTCTGGTGGCGCAGTGGGTAAGAGCTCGGCTGTTAACCAAAAGGTCGGCCGTTTGAATCCACCAGCCGCTCCTTAGAAACCCTATGGGGCAGCTCTACTCTGTCCTAGAGGGTTGCTACGAGTCAGAATCAACTCGATGGCAACGGGTTGGATTGGGTGTAGAGCCTCTCTCCTAGACAGTGTCCAGGGTAATGAACAAGATGTAAATCGGGAGACTGAAGTGAATACCAGGACATAAAAACCTGCCTGGCCCTACTTCATGAGTACCGACTTTTCAAATTGTCCTCAGGCAATGGCACCCTCCCAAAAGACTTCTACACACTTAGTTCACAATCCTTCTGCTATCCTTGCTACATTCCTGATCATTTCACTCTCTTCAGGAACAGCAGGACTGCAATGGGCTGAAAAGTGAGGAAGGTGCAGTTCCCTCTCTACGCCGGAGGCGCGCCATGGGAAGTGTTCACTCAGCCGACTCTCTCCACATGGTCGTCTGTACTCGTCATCAGCTGTGTGAACCCTGTGCATCCACAGGTTTCAGGAAATGTCAGACCTCCTTGTAGTGCTTTCTCCAACACCAGGGCTCTGACTGCTCTCACACACTCTGCCCACCGCAGCTCCCCCGGTCTACACCACTGCTTTGGGCACACACTCTCCCATGCACTACCACTCCCGTAAAGGCGCACGCCTCACCTCCCCAACCACACAATAAGCTACTGGGGGTGCGGGCACGCTTACATCGCTTCTGTATTCACTGCAGTACCTAACAAAATGTTAGGTATAGGAAGCACTTAATAGTTACTGAAGTATGAACAGCTTTGTATTTTTGCATAACTACAACTGTATTTATAGGTATTTTCTCTTTGTCCTACCAGTACTCTAAGATTATAAACTCACGGTGATGGAATAGATAATAACTTCATTTCTCTGTACATTATTATATATTTAATTTAAAATAAATGAGGTTGAGAGCTTGAAGTGTAATGGACATGAATTACTTTTTCCAGGAATACTAAAACCATTCTGCGTATTTTTACAGTTGCCTAAGTAAAATCTAAGCTTGTCAATAAACTACCCAAGAACAGTAAATAAACATCCCTTTGTTCACTGTAAATACTGAATGAAGAAAAGTGAAAATCATTTCAAAAAATGTAAAATACCAAAACTGCTTTTCTTTGGTCAAAACAGGAACCTGCCAAAGGCTGTTACAAATGACAGAGAGGTGAACTGAGCAATTACGTGTAAATATAAAGGGGGAAAGCTGAGCAAATAATTGTGAGCGTGTGTGTATATATATGTTCACTAATCGCAACACGAAAAACAAAGAGAGGGAACTGAGAACGAAGCAAGAGTGTTTTCTTCCGTCACATGCCTAATCTCATAAAAAATAAAATGTTCATAACAAAATAAAATGCAATGAGAAAATAAAACATCAGATCTATGTACCTTAAAAAATAATGCCCACAGCTAAAACATTTCATACCTGTAAACATGGCGTGAAAATAAGGACTACAGGCGGCCAGTACCACTCTGTGAGCAGAGATTTCCATGTCTTCGGCCACAATTGTGACGTCACACAGCAAATTCTGACTGTTTACAAATCAGAGAAGAAAAAAACAATTAAGAGGATACCAATAATAAACGTACAGAACACCCTGTGCAAAAATATTATGGTAAAAGCTTGCTATCTCGAAGTTGAGACTTACTTAAAACAACTCATCCATTAGAACGGGATCCTTAAACATGAAGTATGAAGAAAACAGCCACGACAAAGGCCCAGCACACACTGGGCCCTGACTCAGAATCCTGCCTTTACTTACCAGAGAAATCTTTCCAAAACTGATTATTGCTTTGTCAACCTAAAGGAAATTACTGGCAGCAAACCATCCGTGGACTGGAAAAGTGGAGGCTGAATGAAGAACAGTAACAGCAGAAGTGGCAGATGACAGTTTGACATAAAGATGAAAACACACGCAGAAAACTAAATTGTGTCAAAAGTATTAAAAAAAAGAGAGAGAGAGGTTTAAAACGACCCCGGACCACCAAATAAAGGTAAAATTATATTCAATTATACTCATTACCTGCTACTTGAAATACATTTGGGCATTTGAAGCTTAATTTTATCAGAACATTTTACCAATGCAAAGTATCTCATTCCTCAAGGGCAGAAAATACTCCCACAGGTAAATTTAAACAGCATTTTTTTCCACCCAACACCAGAAGAATACACGTCCTTCTCCAGTGCAAATGGATCATTTTCCAGGATAAACCAAATGTTAGGTCACAAAAAAGTCTCAATAAATTTTAAAAGATTCAAATCACATGAAGTATCTTCACAGACCATAATGGAATGAAACTAGAAATTAGTAACAGATGAAAACTGGAAAATACAAACATATGTAGACATTACGTATCACGCTATTAAACAATCAACGGGTCAAGGGGAAAAAATCAAGAGAGAAATCAGAAGATACTTCAGAGTCAAATGAAAATAAAAACACAAAATGCCAAAACTTATTGGATACACAGAGGGCAGTGCTCAGAGGGAAATTTACAATGGTAAATGCCTGCACGAAGAAAGCAGATCTCAAATCAAGAATCGAACTTTAGAACTTAAGGAACAAGAAAAAGAGCAAACTAAGTCCAAAGTTACTGTTGTGGTTGCTCTGGAGTCAAAACTGACTCACGGCCACCCCATGAGTGTAGAGTAGAACTTCTGCATAAGGTTTTTTTTTTTTTAAAAAAATTG